CTGTCAGCTTAGCATTTATCAGTTAAAGAGCAGAAGTCCAGTCTTGCTAGAGATCTTTCACCATTTTTTTTCTTAATTTCTCTAGTAGTTCTGGAAATTAAAGGTCCTCTGGCATCAGCTGCTCAGGCTTCCCTCTTTATCCTGATCTATTGGGGTCACATGCCATTTTAGAGTCTTCTGACAGCTCCGTGTCACCTGCAGATTGTTTTAGATCTTTCACCAGAATGCAGAATTCCACAATCTTTTGGTTAGCTAGATGTTTAGTTCTTTGCATTAGAGCTTCTTTGTCCTTAGAATATTAGTATGATCTGTCACTAAAAATACTTCAAAAGCTTAGATTGTCATTAGGGATATGTTCTGCGCAAGGAAAAATGTCAGCCATGCTGGATCTTTGCCCACGCCCCCCACTTTCATAACCCCATATCTGCCTCATGTGATAAAATAACTTGGCTGATTTGAGGTATTGTTTGTATTGATCTGGATGGGTTTGGGAGAGTGGCAGTATCATTTGCTGCTGTACCTCAGGCAGTAAAATGTATTCGGCCTGCTCTGATTCACTAACTTAATAGCAATGTATTTCTTACAATAGCATGTTATACAGATACTGATATTTCAGTTACTTCTCTCGTTGTTCTCTATCCATCCACTGTTTCTGGGCTGAATCAAGAATGAAGTACACAGATAGTCAATGAGTTCAACTTTTCAGGGTCATGCACACTAGAAAATAACCTGGTGTGGAAACTGGCTTACTTCCATGGTGTTCATATTTTTTTTTGACTGCACTCACTGCAGTTTTTTTTTGGGAGGGGCACCTACCATGTCTTTTTCATGGGCCACAACAATCTGGATCTTTGATAGAAAGAACTCACTACCAGAGAGATTCAGATTGCACAGGATTGTTTTGAAAAGGAGGTGCCTCCATTTTCAAAACAATGGGATGCCTCTTCCTCTTTCCTCCTCTTTCTCCCCACTCCTGCTATCACGTTCATCCTCCCTCGTCTTCCTCTCCCCCCTCCTGCCATGATTGAATCTCTCTGTGACATCATGGAGAAATTTGATTGTGGCAAATATACAGGTTATTTCCTCATGTGAATGACCCCTTTGTTTACCTTTCCTTCCCCCTCACTCTTTCTAAGCCTCTCTGACTCTGAAGATACACTTCTAAAATATAGGCAAGACCTATTGAAATCTCAGAGGAGATGATGGCATACTAAAGTAGTGACTTTGGTGCCCCATGTACCTTCCTGCTCCTCTCCATGTTGAGGTGAATAATGTAAAGACTGGGGGAAATGCCACGTGAAAAGAGGAAACCATTCAAACTTACCAAGTCAACGATTATTCCACTTTTTACTGCAGAAGCAGGACTGATCAAAAGGAGAATTTTCACTTTCTTGTATCCTGTTAACCTCTGTACCACTTGACACTGAGCCATTATTCTTGCAGTTAGGAAAGACATTACAGTATTGAGCCTGGGCCCTCTGAGACTACTTAATTACAGTGGGGCTTTGGTATCAGCTGGGGTTTGATTCCAGGACCCGCTGTGAAAACCAAAATCCAGGGATTATTTGTTGTTAACTGCCCTTGAGTTGGCCTTGAATCATGGTGACCCTGTGGATGAGGCATCTCCAAGTCCCCTGTCCTACACTGCTCTGCTTAAGTCTTGTAGATTCATGCCCATGACCTCCCTGATTGAGTCCAGCCATCTGGCATGTGGTCTTCCTCTCTTTTTCTCTTTTACCTTTCCTAATATTACTATCTTTTCCAATGATTCATGCCTTTTAATGATGTGGCCAAAGTACAACAGCCTCAGTTTTGTCTTCTTGGCTTCCAGGGAGAGTTCTAGCTTGATCTGTTGAAAGACCTCTTTGTTTTTTTGGTCGTCCATGGTATCCTCAGCACTCTTCTGCAGCACCACATCTCAAATGAATTGATCTTCTTTTTATCAACTTTCTTTACTGTCCAGCTCTCACATCTGTACATGGTGATGCGGAATATAATGGATAGGATTATTCTAACTTCAGTGCTCAGTTGTATATCTTTACTCTTTAGGATTTTGTCTAGTTCTTTCCTCTCTGCCCTTCTCATCCCTAGTCTTCTTATGTTTTGACTGTAGCCTCCTTTCTTATCAATGTTTCATCCAAAGCATGGGATCTCTTTATTTCGATTTCCTCATTGTCTAGGCTGAATTTATGTAGATCCTCCATGGTCATTATTTTTGTTTTCTTTATGTTCAGCAGCAAGCCTGCCTATGTACTTTCTTTCTTGACCTTCCTTAGTAATTGTTCCAAGTCTGTGGTGTTTTCCACTGGTAATGTGGTGTGATCTGCATGTCTTGGATTGCTGATGTTCCTTCTCCCATCTTTACTCCTTCTTCTGAGTCTAAACATGCTCTTTGTATGATATTTTCTGCATAAAGGTAAAGGTAAAGCTATTCCCCATTGACAAGACTGTCAAGTCATGTCCAATCATAAGGGGTGGTGCTCATCTCTGTTACTAAGCTGAAAAGCCAGTGTTGTCAGAGACTACTCTCTGATCATGTGGCCAGCATGATTGCACAGATCTCTGTTTACTCAAGTCCTATTTTCTGCATACTCAAGGCCTATTATAAACAGTGGCATCCCTTTTATCAAATGGCAAAATCAAGATTTGCTTTTTGGAATTAAAAAAAAAAGATATTTTCAAGCTGTGGATGGTTGAATCCATGGATACATGATGCATGGATATGGAGGTCTGACTGCATAGCACAGGGGTAGGCAACCTTTCCCCTTTAAGGGCCGAGGGACTTCAGCTCCCAGAAGCCTCAGCCATGTTAGCCAATAGTCCCATGTTGGCCAATAGCTCCTGGGATTATGGGAGCTGAAGTCCCTCGGCCCTTAAAGGGGAAAGGTTGCCTAACCCTGGTATATCAGTATGATTACACTTTAATAGCCATGGCTCCATCAAATAGATTCCTGGGACTGGTGGTTTGTTGGGGCACCAGAGAAACTTTTTGGTGAATTCCAAATATTTCCTAAACTGCCAATCCCAGGATTCCATAGGATGGAACCACACGAGTTAAAGTGGAACCATAGAACTATAATTATGTAGTGTGAATGGGTGTCTGAATCGCTTTTAAACTGGATTCAGACAAGCCTTCCCCCATCCCATGTATCTGAACTGAACCTAAACTGAAAATATCTGTTGCCTCAAACTTGAAAATCTAAACTGAAAATGGGCAACTGGTTGAAAAAGAGTAAGCAAAGAGATTTTATAGCACAGTTGAGACTGACTGTGTAAAATAAGTTGTAGCATAAGCTTCTGAGGAAGTAGACCAAGTCTATGAAAGCTAATGCTACAATTTAGTTTGCACAAAGGTCTCAAATTCTTAAACTCTTAGGGACTCTACAGATGGCCCCTGAGGGGCGGCTCCGTGCCACCTCTGGGAGCACTGGATCAGGACCACATCAACCACATGCTGCATCCCCAATCCAGCACTTTCCTGCTTTTTGAAGCAGCAAAAAGTTGTTCTTGCCGTGGAGGCAGCAGCTTTTCTGCACTCCTTTGGCGCAGCGTGTCGGGCGCACAGCATGACAGCGGCATCGGGGTGGAGTCAGGCTGGCCAGCATGCGGTTGCCATGCCTTGACTCCAACCCAAAGCCAGTCCTTTTGGCCGGTCTGTACTGACCCTTAGTCTCAAAGGTGCTACAAGAATTCCTTGCATACTGAGATTCCAGATGAACACAGCTACGTCTCTGAATTTAATCTTCTGGTCAAAAAAGAATTGCTTAGTGTCTGTAAACCTAGCATCAGCTTTTACAATTACTAAGAGAAAGCCAGCTCTGTCTTGAATCTTAGAAAGGCATTTAGAAGTATAGATTTGTATTAATTCGACTCCATAGGGTGTCCAGCTGCTCAGTTAACATTAAACAAGACATTTTGTTGTCTGAGGTACAGCAGGAACTGTTCCCTGTCCAAGTCAAGGTTCACAGGACCCAAAGTATGCCAAGTTATTTTGGCACATAAGGCAGAAAATCTCCAAGCACCTCTCCCCATCCTTGACCATTAAAAAAAAAAACAATAGTAAGAAATTAAGCACTTGCAAACTTGCTGCTCTTTAGTAACATCAAAATATGGTGGCTGAGAGAGACACCTCACTCGGCCTAATGGCATGTCAGGACTCGACATTAAATGCCATTTTGGGGGGTTAAATCTGGGGCAAAACAGACAGCTTTTACATAGACAACAATGGAAAAATCCAGGCAGTTACTGTATTTGGAAGTACGTGTCCTTTCTAACTCAGCCATTTATTGGTGTGAAAAATAGCACTTAATTATTATTATTTTAATTCCAACATAGCTGCATGTCATTCTGTAAAGGATAAGCTTCAGCAAGCAACTGAGGAGTGGAACTGAAATGGGAGGGCAAAGCTCAAGTGGAGCTGTTTTTGTTTCAGCCTGAAGGATGTTCTGGATTTGGAGTGGAGTTGGAAAGCCAAGCCAGCATCAGAGCTACCTATAGCAGGAACTCTAGAACAGGGGTAGGCAACCTAAGGCCTGGGGGCCGGATGCGGCCCCCTGAGGCGTTTGGACCGGCCCCAGGCCTGTCCTGCCGCCGTCGCCGCTGCTTCCCGCCATGATAATATTTATTATTGTTGTTATTACTTGTTCTTGGGGTTTTCTTGGCAAAACCTCCACAGGGGGTTTGCCATGGCTTTTCTAGGGCTGAGAGAGTGTGTATGCATATTTTAATTTTTTTTTAAATTAAATTAATTTTTAATTTGTATTTATTTATTTATTTATTTATGGTGCTTTGACCCTCCAATTGTCTGAGGGACAGCAACCTGGCCCCTGGCTCAAAAAGGTTGCCTACCCCTGCTCTAGAAGTTGGTGGACTCCAATTTCCATTATTCCTGACTATTGGCAAATGCCAGCTAAGGCAGATAGGAACTGCAGTCTAAAAACAGGTGGAACACACTTTCCTTATCACTGGCATTTATCCTACAATATGAAGTGGGGTAGAGAGCCAGCATAGTGTAATGGTTTGAGTGTTAGACTATGACTCTGGAAACCAGTGTTCAAATCCCTGCTTGCCCATGGAAACCCACTGGGTGACATTGGGCAGATCACATGCTCTCCAACTCAGAGGAAGGCACTAGCAAGACTCCTCTGAACAAATGTTGCAAAGAAAACCCTGTCATACAGTCACCACAAATCAGAAATGATTTGAAGGCACACAACAAAATCAGCAACAGCAAAATTAATTTCAAAATTTCAGTTGAATATTTAGAAAAAGCTTATGCTGCAATTTCATTTGCTCAGATAGTCTCAAAGGTGTTACATGATCCCTTTGCATACTGATATTCCAAACTAACATGACTATGTCTCTAAATTTAGAAAAAACAGTTTAGGCATCCATTGAAAAGGGGCAGGCAAAGTTACCAAGGGAATGCGCACACAGCAAATATGTGTTCTGGATATGAATTATTTTCATTGTCTCACTCTTTGCAATGCTAGAAATTTTGAGAATTAAGGGAAATTTCATTTGGTGGGGTAGAATTCTTATTAGGGATGGCAATGCCCTCCTTTTGCCCCCCTGCAAAACACTGTACCCCTGCACCTGATTCCAAACGAAAAAGGAAATGATATCTAGACAAGTTGATTATCATTCTGCATGTTATTTCTATGGGTAAAAGACAATGGTTTTCAAAAAACTGTTGGAGAACCTGGAGAGAGTAGGAAGGCCAACAGGAAAAAAACGGGGTGCGTGTGTCAATGTTGGGATTCGTAGTTTTGGTTTCTTCTGTGTTGACTTGATCCACTTCTTTTGGGGCCAAAGTTGCTGTGACATTTATCGTTGTTCCTGAGAGCGTCTGCCAACTTTTACAGAACTTGGGAACATAACTTTTTTTACTATAACACCCAGAACCCTTGTAAGGTGGCTGCTTCGGGCAATAGATATTTGAGGCTGGCAGTTTTTGAGTTATTTTCTCACATGGCTGTTGTATTTTTACTATCAGAAAAATGAGTAGAGGCATTTGTGGGATTTTCTCATGTGCCAAAATAACTTGGCTGGCATTCAGTAATGTGTAGCTTGACTTGGGTGGTTGGGGAGGGTGCTGTTTGCTGGTCTGTCTCAGGCAGCAAAGTATCTGACAGACTGGATCTGACTGCAATGCACTTTTCTCAGAATGGCTAAGAGCAGTTGCAGGAGTATTTGGTTAAGGGAAGGGTTTCACCCCACCCCCATGATGTTCCCATTTTTAAGCTTTAAAAGATGTTTTGGGTGACAGTGCTGAAATTTCCATGAGTAATGCCATTTCATGATATGTCTAAAGTATGACAACCTCAGTTTTGTCATGTTTGCTTCCAGGGAGAGTTCAGGCTTGATCTGGTCAAGGACCCATTTGTTTGTCATTCTGACTATTCACAATATCCTCAGCACTCTTCTCCAGCACCACATCTCAAATGAGTTTATTTTCTTTATGTTAGCTTTCTTTGCTGTCCAGCTCTTGCACCCAGACATGATGATGGAGAATACAATGATTTGGATGATTCTGATTTTAGTGTTCAGTTGTATATTGTTCACCATTTTGTCTAGTTCCTTCATTGCTGCCCTTCTTGGTCCTAGTCTTATTTCTTGACTGCAATCTCTGTTCTTATTAATGTTTGATCCAAGGTATGGAAACTCTTTAACTATTTCAGTTTCCTCATTGTCTAGGTTGATGTTAGGTAAAACCTCTGTGATCATTATTTTTGTTTTCTTTATGTTCAGCAGCAATCCTGCCTTTACATTTTCTTTTTTGACTTTCTTTAGTAATTGTTCCAAGTCTATGATGTTCCACTAGTAGTATGGTATCATCCCCATACCTTACATTGTTGATCCTCCTGCCTCCTATCTTCACTCCTCCTCCTTCTGAGTCTAACCCTATTCTACTCCCAAAATCTTTCACCCGCTGGGAGGATTCTGTGTGTTATAGTCCAAAAAAGCATATTTTCCACCTCTCTTCCAACAGCAGCTTCAGTACTGCAAGGGTTTTTAAAAGGAATTTTTGGTGAATTACTTCAAAAGATAAATTATGAACAGGCATAGTTAGCCTTCAGGACATCTAAACATACATTTATTTAAATAAAGTTTGTTATTGTTGTGTGCACTTAAGTCATTTCCAACTTATGGGGACCCTAAGGCAAATCTATCACAGGGTTTTCTGGGGCTGTAAGTATGTGATTCACCCAAGATCACCAAAAGGGTTTCCATGGCCGAGTGGGGACTGAACCCTGGTATCCAGAGTCATAGTCTAATGGTCAAACCACTGTACCAGGCTGGCTCTCACTTTAAATAAAGAGATGTCCTTTCTTTCTTTCTTTCTTTCTGCTCCCAGCAAGCCTTGGGACTATTCTGAGGAAAACCTAACCCATTGTTTTATTTGGTGAACCCTCACCCTGGATTCTATATTGTAATAGTAAATGTCCTTGGTAAAGAGCAGCATTTAAATCTGTGTTTTGTTTTCCTCATATTTCCAAATGTAACCCATTACCAATTAGAGGGGGGAAGCAGACGGCGCAAAGCGCTGTCTTCAGGGCAAGGAAGGGGAGGGGCAGCTGCAGACTGGGCGCCCCAACCCCTTCCCGAAAACGTCGTCGGAGCAGCCGGCCCTCCGCATGGCCAGGGCTCTGAGGATGCCTTTCCGCTGCAGCATCCGCACACACTGCAGCGGAAGAGGCGCCGAAGGTGCGCCGGCAGCCTTTTGCGGCGCACCTTCGGCGATTTGTGGAAGGAGCGCTATTTTAGTGCTCCTTCCTGGGGCGGCAAAGCTGCGCCGTGGGGCCGAGGAATGCGGATGTCTTGGCCCCGATCCTCAGCTTCCTGGGGCAGCCCCGTGCTGCCCATCTGCTTAGCCAAAGAATTACATGAGCACTTCCAGCAAAACATTGAATTCTCTGGTGGAGAATGAATGGACAGGTAGCACATTTCCTCAGCTCTTCATATGTGCAAAAATGACTGGCAATTAGATTAGCTTTCTGTTTGCCTTCATTTGAGGGCCAAGCTAGACATGGTGACAACTCCTGGACATGTCGAGCTTGGCTCTCAGATAAAGGCAAAGGGAGAACTAATCTATTTGAAAGATCCACTAATGTCGAATTTCTAAATATTTACTTTATTATATGTGATGTCTCTCTCACTTTAGCAACCATCTCTGTTGCTCTTGTGTGTTTCTAGGGAGGAGGATGTGAAGGGTGCAGGCCACATTGGGTGATAGCACAGGGAGGTGCACCTGCCTTTGGATGTGGAGTTTTCCGTCACAGCACTCTGTGGGTAGACCAGGACTCCTGGAGACTAACGGTCCTGGGAAGGAGCCAGTCTACCTGCCTTGAGGCAGCAAGGAGGCCAGCTGGGGCACTGTTGGCACACCACAATGAACTCCTGGAGGTCTCTTCTGTTGCCAAGCAAGCCAGGTAGACTGGAACAACCCGGGACATGGACAGGCTTTTGGGTACCCTGGCCCACCAGCTGTCAGCAGCAAGTAGACCTGAGCCTTTCTCTTCCATAGTGGGCCAATCTGCTCCTGAGGAACCAATGGCCTGATAACACCGAGCCTAAGATAACAGCATGAATGACTGCACTGGGGTGACACCAACCTTAGTTTGAGCCGGGGGCCGGGTTGCTGTCCCTCAGACAATTGGGGGGGCCAAAGCATCAAAAATAAAATAAAATAAAATAAAATAAAATTTAAAAAAATATGCATGCACACTCTCTCAGCTCCAGAAAAGCCATGGCAAAACCCCTGTAGAGATTTTGCCAAGAAAACCCCAAGAACAAGTAATAACAACAATAATCAATATCATCATGGCAGGTGGCGGCGGCAGCGAGGGGTGGCGGGGGGTGGCAGTGGCGGCAGCGGCAGCAGCAGCAGGACCGGCCTGGGGCCGGTCCAAAGGCCTCGGGGGGCCTACCCCTGGTCTAAGAAATGGAGAAAATATATAGACAGTTTTACCAAGGCAGCACTGCCAAGGGGTGACCTTTCACATTACATCCTTATAGCATTCTGATTCCACTTTAACTGCCATGGTAACATCCAAACCTGGGATATGTCCTTTAGTGAGGGCTATTTTGAATTATCAGCCAGCCAGCATGGCATCATAGTTTGAGTGTTGGACTAAGACTCTTGAGACCAGGGTTCGGTTCCCCACTGTGTGATCTTGGACAAGTGACATGCTCTCAACCTCAGGGGAAGGCAATGGCAAACCTCCTCTAAACAAATCTTGTCAAGAAAACCCCATGATAGAGTCACCTTAGGTTTGCCAAGTCAGAAACAACTTGAAGGCACACAACAACAACAAATTTTGAATTCTCAACTTACTTCCCCAGAGTACAAGCCCCAGGATTCCATAGGGCCCTGTAGCCATGGTAGTTAAAGTGGAATCATAGTGGTATAACCACACATTGAGAAAGGACCTTTGATCAGCATGAGACTCACAAGCCTCTTACGCAGATTATTTGCCACGTTGTCTGCTCAATAAATGTTAAATAGTAAGGACACAGAAACTATTTGGCTCAAGAAGATGAAAACTCAGTATGTCCAGCAGCAGCAAGTCACAGAGGCGCTATTTTACCATCTTGGCTAATAAATAGTCCTTGATGCGCCTATCTACAAATTTGTCTAAATCATTTTCTTATTAAAAAGAGGTCTTGGCCAGGCTCCATCACCCCATTTGTGGTTTCTTAACTTAATGGTGCAGAGTGTGAATAAATACTCCTTTGTCAGTCCTGACTCCATTGCAATAAACTTTATTAAGGGATGCCAAGTTTTAGCAGTGTGTGTGTGTGTGTGTGACTCCTCCACTTTTTAATTTTTAATTAAATTTTTAATTTAATTTAATTTTTTTATAAGCCTAAATCCTGTTCTGATTCTGCATCCATGCACAGCAATCACTTCCCCTTGCTAAACTAAAGAGCTCAACATGTTATTAGTATTATTGTTTTTTGGCTGTAGGAGACACTTGGTACAATTTATTAATTTTCCTTTGGCTACTCACAAATGAAGTACATTATTTCAGTGAAGACCTGAGATGAAAAATCTGTGTCAAGGGGAAAGAGCCACCAAAACTTGTTTTAAATCAAATATTGCTTCTCTTTGCTAATTCAATTTTTCTAAAGATGCTGCGGTGAGACATGGGCAGGGACCGTGCACCTTTCCAGGAGTAATTGGTCTGCAACTCCCACCAAATCATTATAGCAAGTGATGATGGATGATGAGAGCTGCAATTCAACAACATCTGAAGAGTCATATTTTCCCATCCCAATCTGTTATAATAATAATAAATTTTATTTATATCCCGCCCCTCTGTCATACAACCGAGATGGCTCACAACAATTTAAAAACATCATACAATGTTAAAATACTATCCAAATCCCACAACCTCCCCCCCTTAAAAAGGAATTAAACAATTTTTACATTAAAACAATAATACAAACACATAATTAAAGTAAACCATAATCAAACAAACAATAATAGGCAGGGCAGCATTTAAACCAAATATAGGAAGGATAAAAGGACTCCTGAGGCCGGGAAACTAATCAGGGAAGGCCTGCCAGAATGTTCTTTTCCTACATAGGGGGGACAATTCACATCTGAAATACATTAATATTTAATTTATTTTGCTTGTGAATTGTCTTGCAAAGGCATGGACAGATGAAGTGGAGGTGGTGACAGGTGTCTTTGCATTCCATGTTTCAGGATTCAGAACCTAGCATTTTGAATACACATCACTCACTGCTTGACAAGAAACAGTAACAGATAATACAGACAAAATCAATAAAAAATCAAGAACTTTTAACTTAGGCTGCATCTTCACTGCAGAAATAATGCAGTATGTCACTGCTTTAACTGTCATGGCTTAATCCTATGGAATCCTGGGATTCATCAGAGCACTCTGACAGAGAAGGCTAAATATCTCACATAACTACAAATCCCAGAAT